AGAGAGAGAGAGAGAGAGAGAGAGAGAGAGAGAGAGAGAAGCTAAGCTACATACAGTATTAAAAAATCATCAGATACTCAAAACAGCTTCGCATCATCAAATAGGCTCTAACAAGCACCTGGATTGGATACCAGTGAACCAATTCAGGCATGGTGGAAGCATTTGTCCAAATGCAATATTTCAAGCCATTTGCATAATAAGGTTGATTTTCATCTCTACTCATGGCTTACTAAAAAGCGAGAAGTCAAGATTTGCTTCATTTAATATTTACACAACTTTCTTCCCTATGTTCAAATACTAAGACATTAACCAAACTTTTCTACCATTTCAATTTCTACAGTATTGATTTCCAACAGTCATCAAGAATGCAGTAATGGGTGATGGGGAAAGAATCTCGGTGATTATACCTGTTTAAGAGTTGGGTGAAGCCAGATCCACAACTGCCTGCTCTCAGAAAGGTTGCCAGGGGTCCTCTCAGACTTCCAAATAAATGTAACAGGCCCCAGCATTTCTCTTGGATATTTATTTGCCCGGTAAAGAATGAGACTACCTTGGCGCTTTCCAGACAAGCAGTGAACTGCTGCAAAAGTCAATCCTGTTATAAACAAAAACAAAATTCCATGATTTCAAGTGTTGAGACAGCAGTATTGTTTCCTGACAGCCATACTGTTATTCTCTGTCTTTCTCCATGAGGAATGAAGTCTTGGTTTTGATCACTACTTAGGCCAAAGCCTGGCACACTAGTTCTCAATAAATATTTATTGAATGAATGATTTAATGAGCTTTTGAGTTTCTTCCTGCCTAAATTCACTCCACCAGAACAATGGTTCTCTCACGTTATACTTGACAATGTTAGAAATGATTTAAAAGCTACCCCAAGCTTTCCTTATATTAACATACTCAGTAGGAACAAGAACCATCTTCACACATTTCTGTATGTGTTTAAACTCCAAAATGCTTATAGCAGACACTTGTTCATGAAATGAATAAAGAACTAAAATAAGGCTCAGCTTTGAAAAACGTTTACCTGTGTCTATGCTACACATTGGAGAAAGTGCCTTTAATATTTCTTCCTCTTTGCCCTTCAACTCCAAGCAACAGTAGTAGGATAAATCCTGCACAAAAAGGGAGACATAATTAAATATTTAAGAATTTACATGGGGAAAATTGCAAGAAGCTAAAGCTACATCTGAAGAACTTCCAGAAGTCCAAGACATGGAACAAACTGTTCATAAGTCAAAATCTGAAACCTGTCTATTCCTATTACATGAGCAAATATGCTTAAGCCAATTTAAATCAAAATAAAAATGAATTTCCATTTAAAATATAATTACAGTGCCCTACTTTTTGGAAGAAAAACTGTGTTTTACTGCATATTCACAGATAAATTCTGAGTATAAAAACTGCTACCTCTAATAAAGGCTTATTCCTCCCCAAAAGCTATCTAACGTAAAAAATCAGAGTAGAATAAGCAAGACACTAATAAACTCCACAAAATTATGCTAAGCTATTCACTTTGGTTAGCTAATTCAAAATCTCAAGATTACCTGACACTGAGCTTAGAGACATAATGTTGCAATTAATTTATCCTATATCCCTCCCATGCTCAGTCTTGACTATGATATTCAACTTTGACTAAACAAAGTACAAGGAAAATGAGAGTAATGACAGTGAGACCATACCAATTTAAAGAAGATGAAGAGAGATCAAACTGAGCAATCTGTTAAAAGGTAAAAGCAATCTGTTAAAGAACTACAATAAGAGTTAATAGTCACTGAAGGGTTACTGAGTACCAGAAGCTGGGCTAACTCCTTACATGGACAGTCATTTAATCCTCTCAACATCTCATGAACCAGGTACTATCTGTTATCCTATTTGACAGATGAGGACACTGATACAGAGACTGTTACTTGAACAAAGCCATATAATCAGTAAGTAGAGAAGTCAGCATTCAAATCAGGCTCACCAACCCCAAACCAACCCCTCTGCCATTTAAGCAATGTCAGCAACTGGAACTAAATGGCAAATTACAGCTAAGATTCCAACAAATACACATTAACCAATGCTATCACTCACACACAGAAATCTTCCCAACAACAGTGATCCACTCTCAGCTGTCAGAGGCCAGATAAACCTTGCCTACGTTTTTATAACTGATGAATTATGGTTACTAGTCTGAAACTCTAGAGTCAGACTACCTGGGCTCAAACCTCAACCTCACCACTCATTGGCTGTATGGCCACAGGTAAATTACCTAAGTTCTCCGTACCTCAGTTTCCTCATCTACAAAATGGAAATAATGGCAACTATTTACCGTGTTATAACAAGGATTGAATACGAGTAAACAAATGTAAAGCACTAAAATAGGGCCTAGAATAAAATACTCAAAAAATATTTGTTATTATTAGCTACTATTTTTATTACTTAGGGCTGATCAAATATAAAGAAAATATCTGATAACCTCAGGAAAAATCTTGCCCAAAATGAGAAGTGATTCATATGTCTGTCTTAAAATTTGAGAGATGGCAGAGTACAGTGGAAAAAGCTCAGACTAAGGGAATTAAATGCCCAAGTGCTACCTAGGCCACCACAAGCTGTGTGTGACCCTGGAAGAGTCACTTCATCTCTCTGGAGCCCAGTTCACTCAATATAAAAACAAGAATTTCACTATAATCTATGATTTGTGCTGCTAAGTCTTCAAAAATCAAAAGCTCTTAAAAGGTTCTTGTATTCACTTCATACTGATTAGGATGGCTACTATCAACACACTGAAAATAACAAGTGTTGGTGAGAACGGAAAAAACTGGAATCCTTGTGCATTTCTGGTGGGAATAGAGTAGCTTCTATGGAAAAGAGTACGGCAGTTCCACAAAAAAATTAAACATAGTATTACCATGTGATCCAGCAATTCCACTTCTATTTATAAACCCAGAAGAATTGAAAACAGACTTGAAGAGATATTTGTCCACTCATGTCCATGGCAGCATTATTCACAATAGGCAAAAGGTAGAAGCAACCCAAGTGTCTATCCACACAAGAATGGATAAACGAAATATGGTATATGCCTACACTGGAATACTATTCAGCCTTAAAAATGAGGAAAATTCTGACACATGATACAACATGGATGAATCTTGAAGACATTATGGTAAGTGAAATAAGCCAGACAAAAAAGATAGCTATTGTGTGATTCTACTTATATGAGATATTGAAAGTAGTCAAATTCAGAGACAGACGGTAGCACGGTGGCTGCCAGGGGTAAGGGAGGGGAGTAATGGGAGTGACTGTTTAATGAGCGCAGAGTTTCAGTCAGGGAAGATGAAAACGTACCAGAGATGGATGGTGATAACAGCTGCAGAGCAACGTGAATACGAGTATACTTAATGCCACAGAGCTGTACACTTAAAAGTGGTTAAAATGGTAAAATTTGATGTTATGTATATTTTACCACAATTTTTTAAAGGTTTTTGTTTTGAGTATTCTGCTATATTACTCTCAAGAAATATCAGGGGATACTAATATTGATGGCTTTCAAAACTTGGCCAAGACTATCCTCCATTGAAAGATAGGCCTCTGTGAAGAGCAAATCTCTAAACATGTACTGGAAGAAAGAAAGCAATTGAATTAGGAAAGGTGGGGAGGGGTGCAGAGGACAACCAGATAAAAACTGATATGAGTCTCTAAAACTAACTGTCCTCTCAAAGAGTTTAAAACAAACTTCCCAGCATCCCACTGAACCATGAACATCTAAAACAGCATTTTGAACACTGCTCAGGGCCCAGAGATGGTTTTCAAATATCTGTTGTTGAGGAATGACTATTAAATGCATCAATGCTGAATAAATCTCGAACATGACCAATAAGATCCTGCATGATCTGGTTATGACTTAGCTCTCCAGAACGAACCTCGTCCTAATGTTAGCCTTGCTGTCACTCTCTTCATCTTTGCATAAGGAATTTATTTCAATTCTACCCTCCTATCTGGCTTCCTTCTGCTTCCAGCACTCTTCTATGTTCTTATCCCTTACAGCTCTGCTCAAACATCACTTCCATGGGAAACGTACCTGTTCCTGTGTTATGACTGCTCATAGTATTGTATACTCTTCCCTTACAGCTGTGCATGTGGCTAACTATTTGATTAATGTTAGTCTCCCATAACACCTTTATGCTGCTTCATCTCCAGCATCTAGCAAAGTACCTCAGGCTCAGTAATAATCATTTTTAAAATAAATAATCATAGATAGGGCTTCAGCATACCATGAGTCTGCATCAGAAGGGTCTAAACAAAAAGGAAAGCAAACCAACTGAAAAGGCATACCTGAAGGAGGCAACGGCTTGTCATAGCTCTATAGCAGGCTCGGTGGCTCTTAACTGTTGGCCTCTCCCCAAGGCAGTAGCCCCATTTCTTGACCATGTGAAACCGTTTGGCATGCCAAATGTGAGTTTCTAACCATATGTTCTTCTTTTGTCTACGGTTAAATTCCAACATCCGGTTTATGTGACATCTTCGAGCTTTATGGCATTTATTTTTTGAATGTTCTTTTTTCTGATGTACTGCTTTCTCTGCCTGTAGTTTCAAGAAGGGAAGCCAATACCAGTTTGTAACCATCTCAAAACAAAGTTAAATGTTAGGAATTCAAACCACTAACTTTAGATTAAGCGAGCACCTTACAGACCCCCATTAGTTGCTTAATTTTTTTTTTAACTTAGTGATTTCTCCAATGGAAGTAGAGAAAACAGGTAATAGAGTGAAGACTTTAGAGATAGACAAACCTGAGAAGGAAACATGGTTCAGTCACTTACTAACTAGGCAAGCTTCGTGGATTATGAAGATTAGAATACTTAAAAATGCTCAATATAGTAACTCAAATTTACTGTGGCTATTAATATTAGAGCACAAGAGGGAGAAAATCACATACTAGCTTTTTGTTGTTTATTTTATTGTTTTTTTAATCCTCTAAGATTATAACTAAGCCCAAAGCCTAGGACCAAAAATATAAAAGTGGGGAAAACCTACACATTTCAGGTCAGTTAGGTACTGACAGATAAATACTAAGTGCTATCACTAAGAAACAGATGTCACATTAAATCTAGAAAGTACAAAATTCCTGTGTAGTTTCCATTCTTAATCTCTTCCATAGCTAAAAACTCATCTCCATTAGTTTATGAGTCCTTTCCAGATAAGGACTTTACCTTGATAAACTCTAACCCCACCATCAGCACAGTACCAGTAAACAGAAGGCACTCAATAAACAAATTTTGAATCAGTTAAGAAATGGGTAGCTTAGGCAATCTCAGAAAGTCTAAGCAAAAAATTCCAGTGAAGCCAAAAACAATTAAATTCAAGTTCAAGTTTTCAACATTGAAAAAGTCAAAAGGCAAGCTCTAGGCACTCATGCCACTCTTTTTTTAAAAACTTCCAACTCCAAGCGGGCCATACACCCAAAATGCAAAGCTAAACTTGCTTATCTGGTAAAGTCAGAATTTTATTTTAAATCTGGCAAGGAAATGTCAACTATTTAACACTATTAAAAGAAAGTGGTTTCAAATGCTATATTTAAAAGCAGGTGTAATATGCTACTACCTGCTAATTTGGTGGATGATACGGCGGGTGGGAGGGGGATAAATGATTAAACCAAAAATATGCAAAATGAGCATGTTGCTTTTGGTTTTCATTTTAATAAATTCTATTAGGTTAATACTTCCAAATTTCTTTTAGGAACTGCTAACCTAAACATTTACGCTAAATGAAACATATACCTCTTTCTGGGCAATTTCCTGTAACCGCCTGGGAAGGCGTTTCACATTGTGGCTCATGGCTCTTCGTCTCATGTGCCGTGGCAGAGTCTGGAAAACTAGTGAATTAGAAGACTTCTGGGTCACTGCTTTCAACATAGCACTGATTTCAGCAGCTCGGGCCTGAGCAAAAGTAGAAGCTATCAAAGGAAGAAGCACTGTCATTAAAAACAAGTCTCAAATCAATACTTTTCTAGTATATCTCAGAAGAAAGAAAGATTTGAAGTATATGAGCTTACAATTCACCAAGCACCTTAACCCCCTATTAGATTAATGCCAATAGTGGTTATTTCTGTAGTATAAGATAGTGAAACTATTCTTCAACTTTTATGTTTTCAAATTTTCTACAAGGATTCAGTGTTACTTTTCTAATCAGAAAAAAAGTTTAAAAACAGATCACAAAGTTGTTTTTTTAAACAGAGAGCTACATGCAATATAATCACAACCATTTTTAAGTGCAACAATCACACAAGAAAACAAAGAAAAATTAACATTTTAACAATGGTTTTGACTCCAAGGGTTTTCTCCTTAATAATTTCTGCTTTTTCCAAATATGTGACTATAACTATTATTAGTTTTCTCTATTGAAAAATACTTTTTTTTTTGAAGAGTAAATAGAATGCTGGAGAAATCTAAGTGAATTCCTCCAAGAAGGCATAAAGAGAGACCAGAAGGCACCCCTAAGGTGTGCACAAGGAATATGGGGTTATGTGGTAGCAGGGATGAGGGTAATGGGGTCACCGAGACATGAGGCTGGAAAGGGCCTACAGACAGGTACTGAAAGGTCTTGGTTGCCCTTAGAGTGCATTACATTTAGTTTGATCTCTGGAGAATGCCATGCTGAGTGTAAATTGCATTTTATATTTTTTAAAGGGGCTGGGGAGAAGATTTTAACACAAAGTAAAACAGTTCACAAACAAGGACTTGTAAAAGACAGGTAAGAAAAAAAGAGAGAAACTGAAGAAAGGACAGCAACCAGGCCCAAGGAGGCTATGGACAAAGTCCAGGCTGGAGGTGAGAAGGGCCTGAAGTGGAAGGAGGGAGAGAGATGGGAGGCAGGGCTAAGACACAACAGAGGGCATTAGAAATCTAGCTGCATTAGAAACAAAGAGTTCACAGTACAAACTTCACTTCCTTACACATACCTACCTACCTGTTATATATTTAGGGATCTCCTGAGAAGTGCCCTCAGGACCTGCCTTCCATCCTCCCTTTTTTTTAAACATGACTTTGGAAGAAGACTGCTCATTCACATCAGGCTCAGAAGGTGAATAGTGGGTCATTTTGGTTTGCCGCTGTCGTGAAGTTCCAGAAAAAGACTCTAGTACATTTCCAAAAAGAAAACAAAAAGAAATATATTACTTCTGTCAGGAATAAGGATTACAGTGGGGAACAACATTTGTTGGGTGGTAACACTGATCATGTTTTTAATCCTACAACCACCATCCTCTCTTTAAAGAGGAGGGATCTTGGATAAGGACGTGAATTAACTTGCCCAGGGTGACATAACTAATAAGCAGCACGCTAAGCTAATCATATCAGTATGACACATGAAAGAACTGTGGACATAACTGTTAAAGGGAACTTTTCTCCATATAAACAGTGTGACATGGATTTTAAATCTAAGTTCTCTTATATACTGCAATCTACATGATTTTGTATATTCAGTCTTTTTTACATAATTTTATTACATTAGTTTTAGGTGTACAAAACAACATAATGACAGACCCCTCACAAAGTGATACCCGCCCCCCAATCTACTACCCATCTGACATGGTATACAGCTGTTACAACACCACTGACTATATTCCCTATACTGTACTTTACATCCCATGACCACACACACACACACAGTCTTTTATCATAATTCTCTAGCACCAAGTTGGGAGCCTATGCTAAATTAAAAAAGAAATAAAGCAAAATCTCTATACAAATGTCTGGGCATTCAAACCATTCTAACTTTAAGACAACATGAAATCCTTGTCTGTGAATGAAGGGAGAGATCAATAGAGAGACTTTTATGGTGCTCCTGCTTATTTCCATTATAGTGTTAATTATCAAACCCCTATAATCATGAATGAAGCGTGTCATAAGGCTTGTCATTGTGAAGTTTAAATGAGATAATATGTGTTAAGGTTTATCACATGTCAATGGTAGGCATCCACTGTTGGATCTGAATCTAGATCTTAGGCATATGAATCTAAAACTTATTTAATCAGACCCAGTACACATTACTCTTTAAAGTGTTCCCAAAAGTTCTTGGTCACCTGCTTGCTGTCTTCCCAAACTGGCATTTTCTATTGCTGCCTAATGAACAACTATCACCTTCATTCCACCTTATAAGGTTCTAAAATTAGCATGTAAGTTAAATGCACATGTGATGACCACACTAGGAATATAGAAATATTTCTTTTAGGAAATACAGAAGTATAATTTAATAATTGATTTTAAGGGGGACATAAAATATATCAGCTCTAAAATACATACAACCAATTCTCATTATTCCCAATAGTTATGTTCTATAAAGTCACAGCAAACACTGAATTAGTGAATACTGAATCACTGTTCCTAGGGGAAATATGTATATATATTACGTAGATTAAATCGTAAAAACAACTCGTGCTAGTACATATTTCCTTTATTTTACAAAAGAGAAAATCAGATTCAGGAGTGTTAAGTGACCTGCCTGGGGTCACCCCACAGTTGGAATTCAAACCCCAGTAAGAGCTGGAGCTTCCTGCATTGTACTGCACTGCCCACCCACTGTCTCCGTCCTCTGCTCATCTCCATATGAAAGCTGAAACAAGAAGGCAGCTGGGAATGTCCACATGGGTGACTTGAATTTTTTCTCCGCTCTGCGAGTGACCGCCAAAGTGCCATGAGTATTAATTTTGCGGTTACAAATAAACTTTCAACTAGGTGAATTTGCAAATACAAAATTTGCAAATAATGAAGGTCAACTGTATCAATTTTTTATTCGGCTCATTATTATTTAGAAAACGACTATCAAAAGGTGCTGAGGGAAGCAATTTGCTCCAAATGGGAGTGGAGAGAGCATCACGGGTATCTTACCTTGTTTTTGAGCTCGGAAAGGTTTTCCACCTCCATTATGGTGCTTTATACCTCTATCAGCCGCAAAGCCAGAAGATAAAGTCACACTAGTGGGCTGGTTTCTCATTTTCTTAGCATGTTTTCTTTCTTTTGCATTAGACATTTCTGGGAAGAAAGTAACAAATTCAGTACAGGGAAAGGGAACTTCCATTCAAAAATAAATTTAAAAAATATTCAAGTGATTCAATATTTAATACTTCAATATAATAAATCTTTATTTATTATAGGTGGATTGATGATATCAAAATGTTATCATGATACTAGTCTATAGCAGGGATTTATAACCAGGGGGATATCTAGAGGAGCCATGAATGGTATTAACATCAAAAACCTTATTCAATAGAAAAAATAATTCTACTGATGCAAGAGACTATATTAGTATTCCAGTTACATAGCCAAATAATTAAATCATATAGCAATATTGGCACTGCATAAAGTCTGTTGAATGGAAAATGAGGTATGAGATATCCCAATGCTATGATAAAAAATTAAATTAACTATTAATGAAACAGTTAATCAAAATTCTTAGGTAAAACATGAGCCACCTGAATCAATAAAATATAAAACACATTATTCTGATATAACCTCTACAAAAACTGAACATAAATTATTTATTGATGTTTTCATTTCTACTACTGAGATGAGGCCAGCTGCACCTTTAATTTGTAACAGCAAAAAGATTTCAATTTGAAGGAAGAAGGATAAAGGACAAAAACCTGGTAGAGGCTGATGGATTTACACAGTAATTCTCAATTCTCAACATCCCCTTTTTTTCTGAATAGTTTCAAAGATCTGTTTTCTATTTTAAATAAAATTCACTAATAACATCTACCAGACATGTATAAATTTTACCAATGCATACTCTACAATATTGTGCCCTAATTGTAAAGAACTAAAAAGTAATTTTAATAAATGCTATGCATTTCCTGTATGTGAATATTTCACCAAAACTGTACTAGATGACATTATGAAATAATGAAAAAGCTCTCAATGTTCTTGTGCGGAAATAGGAAAGCCAAAACCTTAGCAGTGTTGGGGGCAAAATGAGGAGAATAAACAGGATTTTCTTACATTATGTTTTAGAAGCAGGGTAGGACAGGGATCTTACCTAACTTTTTTACTACTGTTTCTCCAACACCTAGCAAAGCGCCTTGCACAAAGTAGGGACTCAATGTATATTTGCTGAATGTACACATGCGCACATAAATGAGAGAGTGAAGCGTGCCTGTAATGCACTAATTAACAAAATAAAAAAAAAAAACAGCCAAGTATCACTCTTCTGACACAGCATGACTGAATAGCTGCCAAGTGACCAGCCCTGGGGCCATTTGCTGGATCAAGATCACCGTCTTCCTTTTTGAAATCAGATGCCACTCACCAGGGCTCTGCTCAGATCAAAGGGGAACGCCCAGAGACCTTGGAAAGCTCGAGGAGTACTCGAGAAAAGGGAGCATGGGAGGGGCGGGAAGGTGGAAAACGACTAACTCTCAGCGTGCTCCCCGGAATGGACCCCTCTTATTCCTATAGGGTATAAGGAGAGAGGGTACAAGCCCATTCTCAAAACTGCCTCCGCCCGGTGGGGCGATGCAGCAAAATGACAAACTTAGGGGGCTCAAGCGTAGCGAAGGAGGTGTGGGATCGGCAAGAGGGGCCTAGGAGCAGACAGCAAGGGAATAAGAGGTCAGTGGGGTCTTAAGAAGAGAAGATACAGGGGGTGGGGAG